GAAGCACAGACTCAGAACCAGCTCAGGATCCCTCCTGACCTCAACCCCGGGTTCCCAGGGATGGTTCCCACTCACTCTTCTTGCAGGATGTGCATCTGCACCTTTGTACTTCCAGGAACCAGCACAGGCATAGGAGCTGCCTGTAAGGAAGAGAGGACCAGAGGTGAGCACTTAGGGAGATGAAGACAGGGCAAGATTTGGTCAACAAATGCTCCCAGCTGAATGCCAAGACAGACCTTGGTGCACAGTGAGGTCTACCCTACATCCCGCTTCAGGCTAGGATGCGTTCTTGTCCTGAATCCTGAAAAGGCCACGTCCCCTGTCTCCCATGCAGCCCAGGTAACTCAAATGCTGGACAGAGCATTGGAACTGCACCTAGCAGCCCCGGACCACCTAGGTGACATGGAGCAGGACAACCATGTGTCTGAGGCCTCTGGCCTATGTTATGGTAGATGAGGGAAGAATGGAAAATACCTAGAGTGAAGGAGGTACTTGGCAACAGGAAAGCACTAAAACCATGCACTAAAAGCTTCACTTCCGCCAGAACTCAAAACGACACCTCCACTCCTAAGGACATCTGTCCAGTGACTGGAAGATAAAAATCCCAAGACCCAGAAACCAGGTGTCCCTTACCAGCGGCGCAGGAGTAAGTGGGGTCCATGTCAAGCCCTGGAGAAACTGGAGTTACAGGTGAGAAGGAAGAGATAGAAGGCAGGTAGGAGGTTGGTGGAGCCCATGAGGTGGCTGCTTCCTTTATAGTTAGTGGAGGAAACCGGGTGTAGAGGACCCACTCAGGCCTATGCACCCTCACTGGGGAGTAGGCGACACCAAGGTTTCTGGCTAGGCTGGGCACAGCGTGTGGGCCAGGTACAGGGTTTCTGAGCACCACTCGGTGCACACCCCTAGGGCGACCTTTGGCTGTGCTGCGGAGGGCAGGGTTGTTTGCCCGTGGTGTGTGGTGATGCCAAGTCCTGCTGGTCCTTCCCAATTCCCCCAGATTGCCGCCACCTACACCCTGGGTGCTCCGGGAGCCCGGGGAGCCTGTCATCTCCCCACCCCCTCCCGGCTGCTGTCCTCAACTTTGCCTTTCTCGGGTGCCATGTGCAACCCCAACTCTTGCTCAGCGCCATGGTCTGCAGGAGTTGGGGAGCATAGGAGGGAGTTATGTGCAAAGAAATCTGGGGAGGATGTGACATTCAGAGTCCCACCTGGTCTGTCCCAGTTGCCACTGCAGTCCGTCGCACACGTTTCCTCTTGACACAGCAATGTGCCAGACACAGGTTCTGCCTCGCTCCCTTCTATTCTCATTGGGCGAATTCGTGGGCATACCTGTCTTGGTCCTACTTACCTAAAACCCTCCGAGATCTCCCCCGGCAGAGCTGGTCCAGCAACTCCCGAACAGTAGTGCTACAATAGGGGGTGTCTCAGAAGAGGGGTTCCTTAGCTGACATGCAGACCCTGCCTAAAATAAGACAGCAAACTGGCTGAGTAGCCAAAACCTGTAGTCACAGCTACTCTGGAGGCTGAGGCAGGAGGATCACATGAGCCCAGAAGTTGAGGTCCAGCATGGGCAATAGACTGAAGCAACGTCTGGAGCGATAATTAAAATTGAAAAGCAGGACTGATTATCACATAACATTCGGTCTGTACCAGTCCATTTTTAATCACATTTGTTCTGTTAACCTCCCAACAATCCTAGAGGGATATACTGTTAACAAACCTGTTCTACTCATGGAGAACTACAACAGAGAGTTCAAGTTCCGTGCTCCTCGTCACAGGGTTAAAAAGTTGTCACATATGTGAATCAGTCAGCTTGTCAAGGGAAAGAGCATCCATGATAAAGTATTCTTGGGATCCAAGTATGTCTTCAACAATTCCCTATTGCTAGACATCTTTTAAACAGCTGGAAACCAGCTCTACCATGGCCATTGACAAAAGCAATCCATGATCGTAACATATATGCACACACATATAATTTTCTGACTACCTTCTATGGAAGGAATAAGGATGATTGTCATTTTTGATGGTGGTACAGAATTGACTTTTCATGAAAACACTTATAGGAAAATATTAATCACTTGCATGTAAAATATTGAGTAAAATAGAGTGCAGGTGGTAGCAGAAATGGCTGCTAATCCTCTGTATCTGATTGAGGCAAAGAATCTTCCTCATAGCTTCATACCTGAGTGCTGATGGCAGTTTTGTGGAAAGAGTGACTGGCTGTCTGTGGACCACAGGTCCCATGTTCTTGTAGTAGATGAGAGGACAGGACACACAGCTAAGGACAGCAGGCCTGGCTGCTCTATCTGTGTGTAAGTAAATATCCCCTATGCTTTGTAAAATGATGTTTTAAAAAAGCAATAGCTTATATCATAGGCCACTCCCCCAGAAGGAACTTTCTAAGTTCCTTCCATTTATTAACTCATTTAGTCCCATAAGCCAGTGACCATTATTATGCTCCTTATATGGTTGAGGTGACAGAGCCACAATAGGCTGTGCCATGCAGCTGAAAGTGGGATAGGTGGGATTTGCACCCATGCATGCTGACTGCAGCATCATGTTCTCACGCACGACCCTGTGCTCCCAAGTCATGTGGAACATGAGGACACTGAAAATCTGGCACGGAGGCAGCAGTGGGAAGAGCACTGAGTTGGCAGTCAGACCCCTTTGCATGTAGCTCAGTGACCTTTCTGCTTGTCAGTTGCCATCTCTCAAGCCAAGAGGGGGGTCCACATTATAGGACCTTTGTATCTTTGAAGTGAAATAGCAGGGTTTAGCATCTAGGGATGTAATGATCAGCCAGCTGTGGCTAGGACGACAGACTAGACAGTATAGGTGCATTTATCTCTTTACTACTGTGTTGTGTGACATTGGGCAGGTTGTTTAACTGCTCTGGAAGACAACAAGGCACTTTAGCTATGCATACATGATATCCCAGTCATGAGGCATGTGGCTGTCATCCATGAGACTGTGTGTCGATCAAATGAGAAAGGTTTCCACATGTGTTTCAATGCAGGGCAGTGTGTCACTGAAGAGGGATTTCTACAAGAGGACATCCACACTTCTCCTGGCACTGGACCAGCCTGACAGCAATCTCATTCCCAGCATCCAGTTCAGAGCAAACCTATGAGCCTTTCTCCAGGCACTAGTTGAGACTTACAATGATTCTCTCTCTAAGAAGTTCATATAGCTGGGCATGGTGGCTCATGCCTGTAATCCCAGCACCTTTGGGTGCCAAAGTGATGGGATTCTTTAAGCTCAGGATTTAAAGAATATAGCCTGGGCAACATATTGAGACTTCATCTGTACTACTACTACTAAAACAAAATGAACTGGGCTTGATGGTATGCACTTATAGTGCTAACTACTTGAGAGGCTGAGAAGGGAGGATTGCTTGAGCCTAGGAGATCGAAGCTACAGTGATCCATGATTGTGCCACGGCAACAGAGTAGGAACCCCACTCAAAAAAATAAAATAGCAGAAAGAAAGAAAGTTTAAATAGACAGAGTCATCATGATGTTGTTTGTTTATTTAGACCTAGCCAGGAGACAGGTCATGGTCTAATTTAATCCATACATAGACATGTAGTGTTCTTTGTACAAATGAGGAAATGGAGACCCAGGAAGCTGAGCAACTTGACTGGGTCACACAGCATGGAAGTGGGAAATGGGCACTGGACAAGGACTGCCCAACCCCAGAACACATCCACCTGGCACAGGCAGCCTTCTTAAGTCTCCTCCTCACAGGGAAGCAGTGGGGAGACATGGATCTGACTTCTAGGCCACAGGGCTCATCTTATTCTTTGAAATATCAAATAAGGTTCCTCAACAAATAGCTAGCAGGACTAACGTGGCATTAATGAGACACCCAGGGCCTTATTCCTTCCTAATAAAGCAGCCCCACAACCACCAAACAGCATAAACCGCTGCCACCCCTGTAGGGCAGACTTGAAGAATTTCACCTGGAACCCATGACCACATGCAATCAACTTGCTGGAAAAACGCTGGGTGATTCCCTTCAAATCCAAATGCCTTGCTGCTTGAAAGTAGTCACGGGCTGAAATTTGAGAAAGAAAAAATTCAGCTGACCTTGGGAGAAACTTCCAAATGCTCAGAGTCAAGGCAGAACAGGGAGCTCTCAGGGGTCAGCGAGTGGCCATCAGTGGCACTGGTCAGGCCAAGACTGATTAATGGCTCCATGTGGGTATGTGCTGGCCTGTGCTGCTTGAGGTGCCTGGGTCCGGTCTGCTGTTTCAGGTCTGCCATGCACATCATCGATGAACAGATGTGCAGAATTTGTAACCTTTCATTTACTTGAAATATCTTCATATGTTTATGGAACTTTTTCCAGTTGAAGCTAAAAATAGGCTTTGTAATTAGAGTTTGATTTCATGATCCCCATAATTAATACTTTATTAACCAAAGTTTAGATCTGCAACAAATAAGAAATAAAAGCTGTCCCTTCATGTGGAGTTTAAGAAGCCCCGTGGACAATTGAGGCAACTGAGGAGGAGACTTCCACCTCCTAAAATTGCTTTGAAGCCTAAAATTCCATGAGGAACTGAGGTTGTGCAGAGAATCAGACAACAACAGTGAGGGATGAAGAAGTTTCCATGCCGCCATTGATGTGACAATGTGGCCGTCCTGTGTATCTCCCTCTTCCCTCAAATGATTTATCACAGCAATGCCAGTGTAACACCAAAGGGAACTCAGGGAGGCACTCTGGCTTGGCTGAGGGCACTCAGGTTGTCAGGGGCTCACATTCCATCGAGAGCCTGGGACTCTTACACCAAGTTCAATCCCTACCACTGCCTTAATGGGTCCCAAATCCCATATTTCCAAAGCACAAAGGAAATCAGGGTCAGAAGAAAATCAACAATTTTTATTATCATTCACATATTTTATAGAAAATAAAGGTAGGAAAAGGGTCAGTTTTGCATTTAAAAAATCCAGGTTTATACACGTTGCTCCATCTCCACCTGGGATCAGGATCTTCTGACATCAGGTGCAGCAGCTGCACTTGTCCGCTACTTCTTTGCAGATACAGCCCTGAGCACACTTGGCACAGCCCACGGGGCAGCAGGAGCAGCAGTCTGGGAAGAAAGGGGAGAGCAGGTGGTCAGAGCAGATGTGAACAGGCGCCTCTCTGCCTGGCAGAGGACTGGCACAAGCCCTGGACTGAACTGAGTTCAGAAGGGCATGGGTCTTATTGAGACACTTGGTGGAACTTTTGGGGGTTGTATCCCAACAGCAAGAGGCTACCCAGTCACAGCTGAGCTCAGGGCAGAAAGTCAGGAGAAGGAATGGTGTGGCCAACAGGGACAAAGGAAGGCCTTTCCCAGAAGCACAGACTCAGAACCAGCTCTTGATCTCTCCCAACCGTAGGCCTGGTGTTCCCAGGGAAAGGTCCCACTCACTCTTCTTGTAGGACAGGCATTTGCATTCTTTGCACTTGCAGGAGTCAGCACAGGCACATGCGTCACCTGCAAGGAAGAGGAGGCCAGAAGTGAGCGCAAAGGGATTGCAGACAGGGCAGCAGTTGGTCAGTGCATCTCCAGTGTCCCCTCCTCTGTGAGGGCCAGCCCCAGAATTCCTGACCCCCTCAGGGTAGAGGAAGGCCAATGCCCTCACCTCTTGTGCTGGGAAGGGCAAGTGCTCTCCTGCTTTACACTGTGTCTAGGGTTCCAGGCTCTAGACACAGCACAGGAGGACAGGGCCTGGTGGTAAGATCTCCTGTCCTGAACCAAAAGAGGCAATGTCCCCAGCCTCCCAGGCATACTGGCTGCTTAGAGGCTGCCTGGAAAGGGAAATGGGACCAGACAGAAGCTCCCAGAAAAGTAAGTGACATTAAGCAGGACAGCCTTGAGCCTCAAACCCTCAACCCTGTCACACAGTGCTCCCAGGGCTTGGCCAGAAATCCAGCTCTGGACGAATTAAAGGAGCCTTGAACTCAAAATGAGTCTCCTGAAACCCAGGGACACTCTTCTGTGTCGGAAAATGGTCATCCCAAGACGCAGAGCCGGGATTCCCTTACCTGTGGCGCAGGAGCAGTTGGGGTCCATGTCGATCCTAGGCTAGGCTGAAGTTCCAAGCGAAAAGGGAGAGGTAGAAGGCTGGTGGGAAACTGGTGGAGCCCCGGAGGTGGCTGCTACCTTTATAGTCTGTGGAGGGGGCGGGCCCAGAGGCCCCGCACAGGCCTTTGCACCCGGGCGCCATCCACAGTCCCTGGCGGGATGTGCGCAGTGAGCTGACTGGGTGCAGCATCTCTGAGGGCCTCCTGGAGGAGCCGCGGGGGGAGCCCTTTGGGCTGCCTTGGCGAGTGCTGAACTGTGGGCCAGACAATTTCCTGCTTCCTCGCGGGCACCCCCACACTCGGGGTTCTGGGAACCCACTCCTCGGTGCTCATGGTAGCCAACCCTTTCCCCACTCACTGTCCTTGGCTTTTTCCGGGTCCGTGTGCAACCCTGGCCTAGTACTCATGTCCCTGGATTGACCTGAGCAGGGAGGGCAGGAGGGAGTCGTGTGCAAAGGACAGACTTGGGTTGTGGCCTTGGCCTTCCACTCCTCCCAGCTCAGCACTGGGGTCCTCACCCCCACCATCATCCTCCCTCTGGTTCCTAGAGTTCATTGCATCGCAGTGAACTACGTTGCCTCTCTTCCGTGCATCCTCCTGTCTGAGGGGATGTGTGAGCGCATTTGTCTGGCTCCTACTTTGCATATTCCCCACAGCATGAGGAGATCTGCAGTAGTAGACATATATACATCATGCACGTTTACACATACACACATGCATAATTTTCTGACTATCTTCTTTATATGGAACAAGACTGGTTTTCGTTTGCAGTGGTGGTCAAGAGGTTGCCTCCCTCCCTCTCCAGCCCTGCCCCCACCCTTTCTTCCCCCCATCTTTCTTTCTTTCTCTCTCTCTCTCTCTTTCTCTTTCTTTCTTTCTTTCCTTCTTTTCTGATGTCTTGCTCTGACAGGCTAGACTGAGGTGGGCATGATCATAGCTCAATAGACCTTTGAATTCCTGGACTCTTCTACATAAACCTCTCCAGCAGTTGGGAATACAATTCCTGACCACCATGCCCAGCTAATGAAAAAAAATTTTTTTTTTTTGGTAAAGGCAGTGTTACTCTTGGGCTCAATCAATCCTTCTGCCTCGGCCTCCCAAAGGGCAAAAGTCTCCTTTCAATAGAAATATAGTTGAGAATATATTAACCATTTTAATGTAAAATGTTAAGTAAAACATACAGGTGGTAGCAGAAACAGCAGTCATTCTGTATCTGACGTGAGGCACAAAATCTTGCTCATCGCTTTATTACCCGAGAGTTGACAGCAATTTTGTGGGAAGAGTAAATATTCTCTTTGACCGCAGATCCACATGTTCACTTGGAGCCTGGAGACACAGCTAAGCACACCAGGCTTGGCTGCTTGGTCTGTAAGTAAATATCCCCTATGCTGTGTAAAATGACTGAAAGGCAATAGCCAATATGTAAACTACTTACCACTTCCCAGGCATCTTCTAAGTTGTTAACATGATGAAATCATAAGATCCTATAAGCCAGAAGCTGTTATTATGCCACTGAGCCACAGAGAGACTGTGACGTGCAGCTAAAAGTGACAGAGGTAGGATGTGAATTCATGTTTGCTGACTGCATCACTATGTTCTCACTTATCACCCTGTGCCAACAAGTCATGTGGGAGATGAGGGCACTGAAAGTTGCTCCACTGGGAGGAGCACCGAGTTGGCAGTCAGATTCCTGTGCATGGCTGTGACCACTCTAGGTCCCAGGTCCTTTTTATCAAGCCAAGAGCAAAACTGATCCATCAACAAAGGCCCTGACAGCTTTGACCTGACATAGGCAGGGTTTAACCTCCAGTGACACCATGAGCTGCCAGCTGAGGCCAAGGTGACAGGGCAGGTATATCACAGGTTCATTCATCCATTTACTTTGGAGCTGTGTGACCTTGGGCAAGTTGCTTAACTACTGTGGCAGACAACACAAGCACTCCAGCCTCTACATATTTGCTGTCCTAGTTTGAGCCCTGTGGCTGGAATTCATGAGATCTGCTGACAGAATGGTGGGAAAGACTTATGTCTCTTCTAGTGCTGGGCAGCGTCTCATGGAAGAGGACATTGTGCACCCTCCACACTCCTCCTGGCACCGAGTCAGCCAGGCTACAATCCCATTTCCAGCACACACTGCCGAGCAATGCTTCCAGACCTCGATGTCTTTCTTTCAGGGAGTTCGCTGGGAAGTTACTGGACTCATTCTCCAAGCAAGCCAATGTAGCGAGAATGATCATGATTATCACAGCATGAGGAGATCTGACACCCCCCACACTGGAGGTTCTGGAAACCCATTCCCTGGTGCTCATAGCAGCCAAACCTGTCCCCACTCGCTGTCCTTGGCTTTTTCCGGGTCAGTGTGCAACGTCTGCCTAGCGCTCATGTCCCTGGATTGACCTTAGCAGGGAGGGCAGGAGGGAGTCGTGTGCAAAGGACAGACCTGGGTTATGACCTTGGTCTTCCCCCCCTCCCAGCTCAATACTGGGGTCCACACCCCTACCATCATCCTCCCTCTGGTTTCCCCTGTTCACAGCATCACAGTGAACTTGGTCGCCTCTCTTTCTTGAATCCTCCTGTCTGAGGGAATGTGTGAGCGCATTTGTCTGGATCCTACTTTGCATATTCCCCACAGCATGAGGAGACCTGAAGTAGTAGACATATATACATCAGGTACATTTACACATACACACATTCATAATTTTCTGACTATCTTCTTTATATGAAACAAGACTGATTCAGTGGTAGTCAAGAGTTTGCTTCACTCCCTCCCTCCCTCCACCTCCCTGTCTTCCTTCCTTCCTTCCTTGATTCCTTCCTTCCTTCCTTCTTTATTTCTTTTCAGATGTCTTGCTCTCTGACAGGCTAGACTGCAGTGGCATGATCATAGCTCAATGGACCTTTAAACTCCTGACCTCAAGTGAGCCTCCTACATAGGGCTCCTGAGTCGTTGGGAGTAAAATTGCTCACCACCATGCCTGGATAATGACAAAAAAAATTTTTTTTTTTTTGTAAAGGGAGTGTCACCTTTTGCAGTCCAGGTTGGTCTTGAACTCTTGGCCTCAATCAATTCTCCTGCCTTGACCTCCCAAAGAGTATAAGTTTCCATTCAATAAAAATATATTTGAGAATATATTAATCATTTTAGTGTAGAATGTTAAAAATATAGTGCAGTTGGTAGCAGAAATAGCAGTCATTCTGCATCTGAATGAGGCACAAAAACTTGCTCATAACTTTATTACTTGAGTGTTGACAGCAATTTAGTGGGAAGAGTGAATATTCTCTTTGGCCACAGGACTACATGTTCACCTGACAGATAAAAATGAAAGGAGATACAGCTAAACACATCAGGCTTGCCTGCAAGTAAATATCTCCTATGCTGTGTAAATTGACTGAAAGGCAATAGCTAATATGTAAACTATTCACCACTTCCCAGGCATCTTCTAAGTTACTAAAATGATCAAATCATTAGATCATACAAGCCAGAAGCTGTTATTATGCCGCTGAGCCACAGAGAGACTGTGACATGCAGCTAAAAGTGACAGAGGTAGGATGTGAATTCATGTTTGCTGACTGCATCACTATGTTCTCACCCACCACCCTGTGCCAACAAGTGATGTGGGAGATGAGGGCACTGAAAGTTGCTCCACTGGGAGGAGCACCGAGTTGGCAGTCAGATTCCTGTGCATGGCTGTGACCACTCTAGGCCCCAGGTCCTTCTTCTCAAACCAAGAGCAAAATTGATCCATCAGCAAAGGCCCTGACAGCTTTGACCTGACATAGGCAGGGTTTAGCCTCCAGTGACACCATAAGCTGCCAACTGGGGCCAAGGTGACAGGGTAGGTATATCACAGGTTCATTCATCCATTTACTTTGGAGCTGTGTGACCTTGGGCAAGTTGTTTAACTACTGTGGCAGACAACACAAGCACTCCAGCCTCTGCATATTTGCTGTCCTAGTTTGAGCCCTGTGGCTGGAATTCATGAGATCTGCTGACATGAATGGTGGGAAAGACTTATGTCTTTTCTAGTGCTGGGCAGCATCTCATGGAAGAGGACATTGTGCACCCTCCACACTCCTCCTGGCACCGAGTCAGCCAGGCTGCAATCCCATTTCCAGCACACACTGCCGAGCAATGTTTCCAGACTTTGATTACTTCCTTTCTCCAGGAGCTCACTGGGCTGTCACTGGACTCATTCTCCAAGCAAGCCAGTGTAGCGAGAATGAGCATGATTACTACAGTTTATTAAATCCGAGCAATAAGCCAGGTCATTCTCTCTTCTAACCCCCACACTGAGATATAATCTTCTTTCTGTAAATGAGGAAATGGAAGCTCAGTGAAGTTGAGTTATGAGTGCAAGTTACATAGCCAGTAAGAGCTGAAGTTGGCTGTGGAAAACGGCTTCCTGTCACCAAAGACCATGTGCTTGGCACAGGATGCCTTCTGAACTCTCCCCTTTACAAGGAAGCAGTGGAAGTGTGGTCCTGACTTCTAGGCTATCAGACTCATCTTTCTCTTTGATTGAACATTAAGTAACACTTCCTCAACAAATAGCCAGGGGAACATTTGGCATTCATGGGTCATCCAAGGCATCGCTCCTTCCAACTGAACTCCAACCAACACTCCGCCATGAGACCCGCTTGAGCAGACAGGAAATACTTCACTGGAACCCATGGTCATGTGCATTTTATCTGGAAGGCAATTTCCCTCAAATTCTTAGTCACTTTGGTAGTTTGAAGTAGGCAAGAGCTGGAAATGGGCAGAAGAGAAAATTCAGTCTGACCTTGGGAAGATTACCCAAGATTTACAGCCAAGTCACAACAGGAAGCTCTCAGGGTCAGTGAGTATCCTGTCAGTGGCACCGGGCAGGCCAATCCTGTGGGTTTCTTATAGGGATACCCTGGCCTGTGCGACTGAAGACATGTGTCGTCCATACACTGGGGGGGTGTCTGTTATTTCCCATGTGCAGTGCACATCATTGATGAGCATTTGTGCAGGGGTGGTAATGCTTTAATTTTTCTGTGATTTCTTCATATAATTATGTAAGTTTTTTTCTGCTGAATCTAAAAGTGGATTTTGTATTTTGTGCTTCATTTTGTGATCTCCATAATTAATATCATTTCCTTTACCAAGGTTTAGATCTGCAGTAGATAGAAAATAGTGGTCTCAGTTTAAGAAGCCCAGTGTAGGATTTAGGAAGCTGAGGAGTGGACTCCACCCCCTGTAGTCATTTTTTTTGGTGATAGTCTCTCTGTTGCTCAGGCAGGAATGCAGTGGCATGCTCACATCCACCACAGCCTTGACATCCTCAGCTAAGGCGATACTTCCACCTCAGCCGTCCAAGTAGCTGGAAACACAGATGCACGCCACCACACCTGGCTAAATTTTAAAAAAATTATTGTAGATACGAGATTTTGCCAAGGTGCCCAGGCTGGTCTTGAACCCCTCAGCTCAGGCAATTCTCTTGCCTGGGCCTCCCAAAGTGCTGGAATTACAGGTGTGATTCACTGCGTCAGGGTGTGTAGTCCTGTTTAGGCCTACAATACAGTGAGGAAGTAAAGTTGGACCAGAAAATCAGAAAATGAAAATGAGAGATGGAGCTGCTTTTCTCCCATATCTGACATGAGTGGGTGGTGATCTTGTATGTCCCGCCTCTCCCAAGTCATCTGAACTTATAGAAGATGATGCTCAGAGAGATAACCTGGCTTGCATGAAGACACTCATGTTGTTCTGATCTGGAGTCCTAGTCCCCAGTGGTCACAATATCCAGTCCCTCAGCCAAGCTCCATGGATCCTCACCTTTCCCAGAGGAAGCCTGTGTGCAAACCCAGCCTAGTGCTCACATCCCTAGATGGAGTGCAGACCAGGAGCGCAGGAGGGAGTTGTGTGCAGAGGACAGTAAGGCTCACATGTGACCCTTACTCTCTGGCCCTCTTGCCTCACACTTCTTGTCCTTGTCTCCACTGCACCGAGGACCCAGGTCTCAGCAATCCCAGATCAATCCTCCAACCCAGTCCCTTATTTCCAAGGCACACAAAGGAAATCAGATTTAGAATCAAGGCAGAAAAGCTTTTATTATAATTCACATATTTTATAGAAAAATAAATGTAACAAAGGTGTCAGGATTGTACTAAAAAAACACACATTTATACACGTTGCTCCACCTGCACCTGGGATCAGGGTCCCCCGACATCAGGCGCAGCAGCTGCACTTGTCCGAGGCCTCTTTGCAGACACAGCCCTGGGCACACTTGGCACAGCCCACGGGGCAGCAGGAACAGCAGCCTGGGAAGAAAGGGGAGAGCGGGAGGTCAGAGCAGACTGTACCTGGTGCCTCCCTGCTCAATAAAGGCCTGGCACAGGTCCTGGAGGACCCTCAATTCAGGAGGACTAGGCTCTGTTCTGAGATAATATCTGGTAACTTTGGGGCTTCTGTCCCAATAGCAAGAGGCTGCCCTTCCCCAGCTGAGCTCAGGGCAGAAGGTCTGCAGAGGGAATGGTGGGGTCAACAGGCACGAAGGAAAGCCAGTTTGCAGAAACAGACTCAGAAGCAGCTCAAGGTCCCACCCAACCTCAGCCCAGTCCCAGGTTCCCAGGGATGGCCCCACTCACTCTTCTTGCAGGATGGGCATTTGCACTCTTTGCACTTGCAGGAGCCAGCACAGGCACAGGAGTCACCTGCAAGGAAGAGGCCAGAGGTGAGCACTCAGGGAGATGCCGACTGGGCAGCAGTCAGTGAGCCTCCAGTGCTCCCTCCTCTGTGAGGGCCAGCCCCCGAGCTCCTGTCGCCCTCCGGGCTGAGGAAGCCCCATGATTTTGTGCTGGGAAGGGAAAAACGCCCTCCGGCTTTACACCATCAGGAGGGCTCCAGGCTCCAGATACAGCACAGGAAGAGGGGCCCGCGGAGCAGGACCTCCTGTCCTGAACCAGAAGAGGATATGTCCCCAGCTTCCCAGGCGTCCTGGAAGCTGAGATTCTGGGAAGGGTACTGGGGCCAGACAGGAGCTCCCCGAAAAAGTGGGTGCCGTTAAGCAGGAGAGCCTTGAGCCTCAGAACCCTCAACCCTGTCACAGAGGCCGAGGGAGAAGGGAAGTGCTCGCAAGGCTTGGCCAGAAATCCAGCCCTGGACGAAACAAGGGAGCCCCGAACTCAAAACGCGTCTCCCGAAACCCAGGGACACGCCTGTGTCAGGGAAACGGGCATCCCAAGGCGCAGAGCCGGGCTTTCTTACCAGCGGCGCAGGAGCAGTTGGGGTCCATGTCGAGCCCAGGCGAGGCGGCTGTTACAGGAGAGAGGGAAGAAGCAGGTAGGAAGCTGGTGGAGTCCCGGAGGCGGCGGCTCCTTTTAAGGGCAGGGGAGGGAGCCGGGCGCAGAGGCTCCGCCCAGGCCTTTGCACCCTCCGCTCCAAGTCCCGTGACGGGCTGTGTGCAGCGGGCGCAGCGGGTACAGGATCTCTGAACCCACTTTGTGCACCGCGCGGGACGCCCCTTTGGCTGCGCTGGGGAGGGCGGGGCTTGCTCCCGACGGCTCCCAGTTTCCACGCCTGCCTCTCCAGGAATCGGGGTTCCTGGAA